TTCGTCATGAGGAATTCGTGGGTCCCTGGTCACCCCAGCAGTACTTAGCCACAAATGTTATGGAACTGTATTTGGCATGAGGTGACCGTGCAGTTCCCAGACAACTTGGTCCGGGGTTTTGAAACACTGCACACCGCCAGGAGAGCGCTTTTTGGAGGGAAGGTGCCGGAGCTTAAGGGGAACAAACGCTACCTGAGAGCCGGGCAGGAGCTCTCGAAAGTTGACCGACCAAAGCACCAAACGCCCTGTGTGACAAAATTAGCCACTTCTTTGTACAAGAGACAAGAGTTGGTTCGACTATTTCTACTTCACGAACAGAATATGGACATATTGTTCGTTAGTCGAATTACCGAACGGGAGACCACCCAGTGGAGTCGTGTGTCTACAATTAAGGATTGTAACACTTTGAAACCGCAAGGTTCTAATGGTCGGATGGGTGTCTGCCGTTCGTATGAATGAACACGTGGCGGCGGCCAGCGATGTTTGGTCGTCGAGTGCGTGGAACTAAAATCAGCCACTCAACCTTGCGACTTCCATCTCGTTCGTACATACATTTCCTTTCGTCTCAGAGAAGCGGCATTCAACTAAATGGAACTAACGACCATCAGACACATGACTACCTAGTTTGTAAACGTTTGCATTTGTTAGTTTGTTCGTGAGAACTCCCGAAAGAAGACCGGTCAAAGCATTCAATCGCATGGAACTGCTTTGGGGCTTTACCTCGTGGCTGACTGGTCTAAAACTTTACTTGAATGGCTTTCCTGTTCTATCGAACAGATCTGAGCGGTATTTTGACAGATTGGGCGCTCAGATCCCTGCTTCGGTGAAGTGTCTTTCGTGGAGTTCTGATTCATAGTATGGGAGTTATGATGTTTTAAAATACTGTTTAATTTTCTGTACTTGGGAGATAATCTAATTAAAGACTGGTTCTTGCGCAATTATCTTCCAAGTACAGAAAAGGATCATGGGAAATGTGTCCTTGTTCCCTGTCATCCACAAGGTCCACCAGGGGGAAACCCCTGGAATGTAATTAAAGAAACCGCTTGTATAAAAGCCAGCTGTGGCTCAATAAAAATCGGTTGACTCCCAAAGCTGATTAAGTCTACCAGCGGAGATATTGCAGTTAATACTTCTACTCCTCTACACCCTGGAAATAGGACCATTTGTGGCGTTTCCCTTACACTGCATGGATCTGAGCGCTGATTGGAGAACTTGGGCGCTCAGATCAGGGCTATTTTGGAGATGTATTATTTGAATGGTTATTGTATATTTGTATGATGTTTTGGGGTATTTTTTATGTCTTTGTGTTTGCCTCTCTGTTCCTGGGAGATAAATAGCTTACCGGTCTTTAAGGTAATTGTCTCCCAGGCACAGAGATCTTTGGGAGGGGCTTGTATTGTATTGTTTGGAGAATAGACTGTAAGGTCGTTTGAGCAGGGCCCTTATCTACCTATTGTTCCTGTGTCACTGTGTAATTGTAAATTTCCCCCTTTCATAATATTGTAAAGCGTTGCGGAATTAGTTGGCGCTATATAAATACCAATAATAATAATGATGATAATAATAACTCCAGCTGGGGCTGTGTGTATAAGTAGGCAACTTGGCCATAATAAATTAGTTCCTTTTCACCCTTCACTCAGTCTGGGCTAGTGTTTGTGGGGATCAGCTATACTCTCTGCAGGAGAGCTTAATCACTTAAAGCTATACCAAGGACCCTGAACCAGGACAGGAAGTGATGTTAAGACCTCAGCCAAGCTGCGGCAGCTAGGGGCTGAAGCCCTCCTGTGTCCCGAAGGAGAGCTGGAAAGCGAGCTTGACGTAGGTACCCAGTCGGGGTGCCAGGCGGTCCGTCACAATGAATATTCCCTAGGTCACTAAAAACTACTTACAATGTGTGTAGTATGTCTGACAGTGCATGTAGCATTATGTATGTGTAGTAGTGTGTGTGTGCATGTTCACTGTGTCTTGTGTGTATACTGTCTAAATGAGTGTATGTATACTATGTCTGAGTGTGTACAGTAGTGTGTCATTGTGTGTATAGAAGTCTGAGTGTGTGTTAGTTTGTGTATACTGTGTGTGGGGCAGTGTTTGTCATTTTGTGTATACTAAATCTTTGTGGGGAAGGTTTTTTATTGTGTGTATAAAGTTATATGTGTGAGGTGTGGGTATTCTGACTCCATTTCTCTCACTAGTGGTCCAGTGGGCCCCTAGGGTAGCCACAGGCCTTCCGGTCTGTCACTCTGTTATGATGTCAGAGCACAGGCTTGGTCTGGCGCCTCGCTCTGATTCCCTCACAGAGTGCCGGAACCGTGAAGAACCACAAGGGCCGCGCAGGGAGATCTCCTGATCTCCTTTTTCAGTTCGAGGGGTATGATACCAATCCAGTATGATGTAGTGCCCCCTTCAAGTGATGCCTAGGGCATGCGCCATGACTGCCATACCCTTGGTATGCGAATAGAAGTCAGGTAACAAACCAGGCCCAGAGCGAGTTAAATAAAGTGAGGTGGATTTCTACATTTAATTTTAGCTTTTTAGACCTTACAACCACGTTTGTGTTAGGAGGAGATAAGTAAACATAATATAAAAGAAAAAAACGGCAAATGACTGTTCTGTGACAATATACAGAAAGTATATTAAAGAGAGTTCAGAGAGTGGCACACTCCACTGCATGGTAAATTAGTTTGATAATACCATGTCTTTAACATTTAACATTGTAAATATCTGGCTCATTAACGTACGTAACAATCTCATAAGATTCTGAATCTGTAGTACAGTGTGTGTGTATGTGTGTTATTGTGTGCCTTTCAACACTGTATCTTTTTAAGGTTTTACAGTCCAGATGGGTGAAAGAGAGACCACGGGGGGGTCTTTACACCTAGCAAATCCCTAACAGGTTGTGTGTCAAATTAGAGGAATTAGACATTCAGGTCCCATAGTCAATCTTAACCTTGAAAACCCAGCTGTGCTAGCTCCTTCCTCTGCCTAGAGCAAGCAAAGTAAGACAATTGCAATGAGTCATATCTGAATGAAACAGCTTTATCATTAGAATTACATATTCCAATGTAAAAAATAAATAAAAAGTTGCAGACCAAGGAAGGAAGTTTGTTACAATCAGCTCCAGTATTACTTTGAGATTTACAGTGCAGTGATAATATATTATCACTGGTAGCATTTATTTTAAATTATTTTTCTGTCCTTTTATTTCACCTGTTTTTCCTTTTTTAAAAAAAATACCTCTCAGTTTTCTCTTTACACATTAGATAAACTAGTACTACCTTTACCTATAGGCAGAGCTTAAATAAAGTTTAATTTTGTTGTTAAGCTAATTTACGCACAATTCATCACTAAAAGAATTCCGCAAAAGGACAAACTGCAAACATCATGGAAAAGAACAAAAAACAAAATGGCGGCACCCAGGTAGTGAGATTCAGTGCAAGGAAAATAAGATAATAAATATAAATAAAGGCAAATGGTAAATAGGGGAGTATAATTATTAAGATACAAGGGAGATATGTAAAGGAAAACTAAAGGAATGGCAGTTCCGATCTAAGGCAATGTTTCACACACTTTCTCTGAGCCAAGTTATCATGAGCAGTGTTTCATTTTTGTTGTTACTCAGATCACATAGGTGTTATTTTACTCATTAGTTGATGTTTCCATCCATCAGCCTGGCATTATGGGAAACATATTTCCTAACACGCGAGGTGCAGAGGGTTAGCCATAAATGCAAGACTAGCATTTTAAAATGGAAGCGTACCGTCAATGTTAAAGGGACACTACAGGCACCATGGCCTGTATAGTTTTTGTAGTGACTATTTTGCAAGATGGCTATGTGTGCAGTCCCCATGGTTTCCCTCAAAACTATCTCTGAGCGATTTGACAAAGACAAATTCCCTGGCCGTTTTACTTAGGTTACACTTGCTCATTATTCCTCCATAATATTTGTATGCAATAAGCAGGATTCTCCTCTACTAAATCACTTGTAATCCTTTGGGTGCGGGCAAACTGACAGGAGCTCCCTACCTCCTCGCAACATAACCAATGCATTCAACGGTGCATGATATTGTGCGTGGAGTGTCCCTTTAATCTATCAATTTTTGAAGTTATTGTATGAATGTACATTTTCTACAGCCACATTTTATTCAATCACAGTCTTGATTTTGGAATGCGGTATGTGATTAGACTGGTAGTCACACTTGAAAATCACCAGTTTAGATCAGTTTACATTAGTGGTATTTCGGTTATTTTATTCCGCGAACGACAACATCTGGTAACCACATTGGAAAATATTGTGAAAATAGTAATTTCAATGCATAAAAAAAAAAAAATTACAGTGATTGCTACATGTGGCTGGCCTGATAGCTTCGAGTGACATTACTGGTTTATACAATACAATATAATTTATTTTGAACTCCATGGATAGGATAGGGCTGGATTAATAATGTGACAGCAAAACACATTTTTCAAAACACACTTTAATCTGTGTGCTATTTTCACACTCTCCTCCCCCATTCCCTTAGCTCTAGCATTAACTGACAGATCTGGCTCACCTTTACTTACATATTATATTAAGTATGCTATTTTATAGTAAACTTAGCATTTTTAAAAACGATTTTCATTCTTTTTACCTTTTTTTTTTTATACCAATTTAATAACATTTTTAATAATTTAAATTAAACAGGTGTGTAACGGACGCTTCCTAGCTTGCGCCGAGGACCACTAGCACCGCACCGGACACCACAACCACTGCAAATGCCACAACTGCTGTAGGTTGACTGGAGTCTCGTCGCCTTTCTTCCACCATAGATCAGCTTCTGTCCTCCAGTACCGCATGTGAAAGACCTCTTCCTTCCACCCTGTATGAAACTACAGCATCCAAAACTGTGTGGGAAAGACCTCTCCTCCAAGGAGAGCGTAACAGGAACAGCTCTTAAAAGAGCTAAGTGATCAAGGCTCAAGATAGTATGCAGAGCATAGCAATCCCCAGCGTGAGTATAGCTGTCTCCTCCAATCACAAGATAAGGCTATGTGTTGAGGGTCAAGAAGAACTGTCTAAAACTTTATTTTACTTAGGACTAGCCCATATGGTCATTACATTAACATTACTGTGAAAACTCAATAAAATTACAAACAGTCAAATCATAGCAGGCAACATACAGTGACTTATTATAACACAATGGCATATTTTAAAGGGGTGGGGGAGACAATAATTAACAGAAAATATCTCATGTGCTTGCAGAATTAGCAATATGCAAATCTACCCGAATATGCAAATGAACCAGTCTTGCTATTCAGGTAGTGCATATTGCTGTTGCTACCAACAGAGGGCACTAGACAAGCTCCATAGCCAAACCCACCTAGTTGGTAGCAAACCTCAGCAGTACAGGAGAGCAGGCAATACACTTCACAGTACACACACACACACTATAAACAATTACATTATACACACCCTGCACCTATAATGGGTACAGGGTGACTAAAACATAATAGAAATAAAGCAACCTACATAAATAGTCTGTCTGAAGGTAGGATAGGGGCTTTAAAGCCAATTAAATCAACGAGTTATAGCCACATGGTAGGAGACTGGCCAACAGGCTTCTCCATAACCTAGGGAAGCAGGGCAATTTGTCACACGAAAAACCAGTTACAAAAGGCAGTTTGTAACAAGGTGGTCTAACAATTAACCTAATTTTAACACTGAAATGTAATAATATATGCTATGTTATACACTAGATTATCATTTTAAAAAGCAGGAACCTTCCAATTAAAGTTTTATTTCTGTAAATGTTTTACCTTTAATTAAAAGAACACTGCACCAAGCAACGTAATTATTACGGCAATCTGTGGTGGTTATGGTACCAGGAGTGTCTTGGCATTTAACCAGTGTAAGAAGTCAAACCGTTTAATAACAGTTTTACTTCAAACAATATAACCATCACAGCGCTCTGCAGTGGTTATAGTACAAGGAGTGTCTTGGCACTTGATAAACAGATTCATTACTTACATTTGATAGGTGCTCTTAGTACATTTTAATACTTAACCCAAAGTTAATAAAAGGTCCATTTTATGGTAACCAGATAATCGCATATTTAATACATTAAATTCCTCACAGTTAACAGACATTAGTATTTTAGTTAAAAATGCTTCAATAAAATAAACAGGTTTACAGAGATTTATTTTTTTTAATGATTCAGGTGATAAATGAATCCCTAACAGAGGGATGTGCAACACGTTCTATTAGGGTTTCAAAGATTTTTTTTTTTAAATGAGAATAAACATTTATTCTATTTTAATCAAAATGGACATTTATATTAACTCATATAAGAAAATAAAACCTAATTGAATTTATTTTCTTTTAACTTGACAAATAAAATAAAGTTGACATCAGTAAGAACGCAAGCATAGAGAACCTTAGAATGTAGAAGTTATATTCTAGAAGTTAACATTTTTCTTCGACTATAAGGTAACACAATCTGACAGAAAAAAAGGGAAATCCCGAGTGGGTGAGAACCTTTTAGTCCCTGTGCCTAGGCACACCGATTGCATACACCTATAGTCCCTTAGTTGAAAGACATATCTTTAATCCAGTTACAGTAATGGAATACACAAACACTAAGCTATTTATTAAATCGACTTAAAGGAACAAAGATCAAAGGGTTAAAAAGACCTCTTTTCACTTACCTTATTCCAGCGCCAAGGACCCGTAGCACAATCCCCATCTCTGCCTCTTTTAATGTTATCACGAGGGGGATCCTTTGTGCATGCGCGGCGAGCACTGCAAGTGCATTAAGCCTTTCTCATAGGAAAGCATTGAAACAATGCTTTCCTATGGGGATTTTGAAGACGCAGGATGTCCAAATGCAAAGCGTGAGGACGTCCTATTAAACTCCATGAAACAGCCGGAAGCACCTTTAGTGGCTGGCTGTCCGTCACTAGAAGCAGTCGTAATCCCGCAATGTAAATATCACAGTTTCTCTGAAACGGCAATGTTTTCAAATATAGGGTTTAGAGAACAGAAACACTGCATCCAGACCACTTCAATGAGATGAATAGTCTGGCTGCCTATAGTGTCCCTTCAGCTACTAGTTATGAAGCTGAGGGAATCACTTTAAAGAACTAGACCAAGCTGGAATACACATTGTCTTCTATTAAAACTGACACCCCATGGTAGTGCCGAGACCCCTTTGTAATGCATTATGGAAAAATGCATTCAAAACACACAAATATAAAAAAATATAGAAAGACACTGACCTCTGGGCAACAGCCATTATCTGCTTCAAATACAATGGTGCAGCTATTATTATTAATAATAATTCTTAAATTCTGTTCTCATATTCTAAAATACATCTAGTCCTGTTTAAATAAATACATCTGACAATGGAACGTCTGTATTTATTGCATTCCGTATCTTTATTGTTCTTACTGTGAAGAACCGTTTCTCCTGCTAAAGGTGACAATTCCTTCCAGTCTCACGTGATGACCTTGTGGTCCTGTTAATGAATAGATCCACACAGAACTGTTTGTATAGGCTGTGAATGTTTGTAATTTGCTACACATCTTTTTTGTAATGTAAGAAATTGTAACATTTCCAGTTTTTTCATACTGAAAATCTGCTCCATTCCGACTAGTTGTATAGGCTACATACTAACTTTTTCAGTTCCATAATGCTGTTTGATTAACTGGTGCATAAGATTACACTGTATCTTCAATAATGTATTGATTATTTATAATCAATTTAATCAATCTATAATCCATTTATTGATTTGTAAAAAAATTAATAAAAAGCAATTGGATTATTATCATGTAAGTCAATAACACTTTTATGATATCTTTCAGTGAGATTTTGCAGGATCTTGGAGTATGGTCAATAAATATACCTAAATAATTCTGATTTATTTATTCACCGACAGTATACCTTGCAAGTTCCTTATAGTTCCTAAACAATGTCGGATCTACGACTGGTGCAGCCTGTCGGGTGGCCCATGCAATTAGACCCACCCGATGGCTATCTTTGATCTGGTGCCCAGTCAGGCACTGTGGCCCTTTAACAGCGCTACCGGGCCCCCTGCTCCGTGTGAAACTGAAGTGCGGGGAGGAAGTTACTTCCTCACAACTTACCAACGAGCCACGAGAGGGGAGGACAATAGAGAAGAGAGAGTCTGGACTAGACTCCCATGATATTCAGCCAGATACCACCTGACCCCAATGACACTACCCTCTTGCACCAAGAAGGTATAGAAGCAGGAGGATAGCAAAAAATATATAAATTGTGATACTTGTATTATCTGTGTGTGTGTGTTATCTGTGTGTGTATGTGTTATATGTGTATATGTGTTATTTATGTGTGTATATGTGTTATTTATGTGTGGATCTGCTCTCTAGATCCAATTCCCTCGCATCTCATCCGTACTCTGTCTTCTTCTCTTTCTTCACCTCTCACTAAAATTCTCAATCTCTTTCTGTCCTCTGGTATATTTCCATTGCCCTTCAAACATGCAACTGTAACCCCAATTCTAAAGAAGCCCAATCTTGACCCTAACTCCCCATCCAACTATCGTCCTACTGCCTTTTGCCTTTTGCATCCAAGATCCTTGAAATAATTGTGTATGCGAGATTGACAGACTTCCTTGAGTCCAGTGGCGTACACATGACCCATGGGGCCCCGGTGCAAAAATTGATCCGTGGGCCCCCTCCCCCCCGCGCGCTTACTCGGCGCGGGTCGGGGCCGCAACACATGGCAGCGGGCACCTGGTCGCAGGGCTGCGACCCCGCGAATGCGGTAAACTGCACACACACCTAAAGGACCACTACAGACACCCAGATCACATCAGCTCAATGAAGTGGTCTGGGTGCCAGGTCCCTCTAGTTTTAAAGGACCACTATAGTGCCAGGAAAACATGCTCGTTTTCCTGGCACTATAGTGGCCTGAGGGTGCCCCCACACTCAGGGACCCCCTCCCGCCGGTTCTGGAAGGGGGAAAGGGGTTAAAACTTACCTTTTTCCAGCGCTGGGCGGAGAGCTCTCCTCCTCCAATCCTCCTTCTCTCCTCCCCGTCGGCTGGCTGCGCGCGCATTCAGCCAGTCACATAGGAAAGCATTCATAATGCTTTCCTATGGACGCTGGCGTACTCTCACTGTGAAAATCACAGTGAGAAGCACGCAGGCGCCTCTAGTGGCTGTCAGTGAGACAGCCACTAGAGGAAATAGGGGAAGGCTTAACCCATTGATAAACATAGCAGTTTCTCTGAAACTGCTATGTTTATGAAAAAATGGGTTAACCCTAGCTGGACCTGGCACCCAGACCACTTCATTCAGCTGAAGTGGTCTGGGTGCCTAGAGTGGTCCTTTAACCCTGCAGCTGAAAACATAGCTATTTCAGAGAAACGGGGTTAATCCAGCCTCTGGTGGCTGTCTCATTGACAGCCGCTAGAGGAGATTCCGCGATTCTCACAGTGAAAATTACAGTGAGAAGACACTGAACGTCCATAGGAAAGCATTGAGTAATGCTTTCCTATGGGCGGTTTAAATGCGCGCGCGCGCCTCTTGCCGCGCATGTGCATTCGGAGCTGAGAGGCGGTGGGATCCCCAGCGCCAAGGAAGTCCGGCGCTGGAGAAAGGTAAATGCTGAAGACACACACACACACTCTCACGAACAGACGCATACACACTAGCTAACAGACACACACATTTACTAACAGAGACACACTCAGTGACAGACATACATACACACTCACTTACAAAACATACACTTTCACTGACAAACACACCCTCACTAACAGACATCAAACACACTCAGTAACAGACACACTAACACTAATACACACACACACTAAAACATGTTTTTTTTTTAAATTGAATCCCCCCAGCCTCCTTACCTTTTGGGGTGCTGGGGGGATTCCCTGGGGTCCAGTGGTGCTGCTGCTGGGCTCCTGGGCGGGCGGGCTGTCTGGGTGGCCGGCGTGCGAGGGAGCACTTTCCCCTCAGTGCTTCCTCTTCCGCTCCCGCGCCGCGTAGGGATGCCGGAGCCGGAAGATGACGTCATCTTCCGGCTCCGGTATCAGTGCGGCGCGCGAGGGAGCGGAAGCACTGAGGGGAAAGTGCTCCCTCGCGCGCCGGCCACCCAGACAGCCCGCCCGCTGGGGTCAGCAGGGCCAGCCTCGGGGGGCCTGGGGTGGCCGCCTCCTGGGCCCCCCAGGAGAAGAGGCTGGCCCTGTGGCTACATACCGGGTCGCAGGGGCGGCCGGGCCCCCTGGTGGGCCGGGCCCGGTCGCAGCCGCGACGCCTGCGACCCTGATATGTACGCCACTGCTTGAGTCCAACTCTCTGCTAGACCCGCTTCAGTCTGGTTTCCGCACTAAGCACTACTCACTGCAAAATCTCGTGGTCACTACTCTATCTTAATTCTCCTTGACCTGTCTGCGTCTTTTGACACTGTTAATCATCAACAGCTTCTTCTCGTCCTCCTAATATCGGTCTACAAGATATTGCTTTCTCTTGGTGCTCCTCCTACCTCTCCCAGCGCTCTTTTAGTGTTTCTTTCTCTGGCTCTGCTTCTTCTCCCCAACTCCTCTCTGTTGGTGTCCCCCAAGGTTCAGTCCTTGGTCCCCTACTGTTCTCCATCTATACTGCCTCCCTTGGTAAACTCATTAGCTCCTTTGGCTTCCAATATCATTTCTATGCGGATGACACACAAATCTACCTGTCCACTCCTGATCTCTCCCCGTCCCTTTTGACTAGTGTCTCTGACTGCCTCTCTGCTATTTCTAACTGGATGGCTGCCCACTTCCTTAAACTAAACTTGACCAAAACTGAAATTCTGGTCTTTCCTCCCTCAAGTGTTGTTACTCCTGTGTCTGTCTCCCTCGAAGTCAACGGTGCTACCATCAGCTCCACCACGCAGGCTCGCTGCCTAGGTGTTCTCTTTGACTCCAACCTCTCCTTCGAAGCCTCATGTTCAATCTATCGCCAAATCCTGTCATTTCCAGATCAAAAACATTGCACGCATCCGCCCCTACTTAACGCCAGATGCGACTAATGTGTTGGTCCATTCCACTGTCCTTTCTCGCCTTGACTACTGTAATCCGCTTCTCAGTTGTCTTACGTGCTCCCAACTTGCGCCGTTACGGTCCATAATGAATGCGTCAGTCCCTACATTGGCTTTTTATTAAATATAGAGCTAAATTTAAAATTCTGGCTCTTGCTTTCAAATCGCTACATAATGCTGCTCCCACCTATCTATCCTCCCTTTTACACAAGTATGTCCCGTTTAGGCCCTTACGATCTGCTGAAGACTTACGTCTATCTTCTGTCCGTACTCACACCTCTGACGCTTGCCTTCAAAATTTCTTGAGGGCTGCACTGTTCCTGTCGCTTCCCTCCTCCGTTAGATGCTCACCCAGTCTCCACTCCTTCAAAAAATCATTAAAAACCCACTTCTTCATAAAAGCGTATCAATTAAACTGTTAATAACTCCTGACTGTTTCCTCACTAGTATAATACTATCCTTACCTTTTTGTGTCATTTTACTCCACTCCCTCTAGCATGTAAGCTCATTGAGCAGGGCCCTCAACCCCTCTGTTCCTGTGGCCAACTTGTCTGGTTACAACTACGTCTGTGTGTATATGTATTAACTGTGTGTGTGTATATGTATTATCTGTGAGTGTATGTGTGTGTCTTTGTCAGTGTGTGTATTTGCAAACTGTATATACATCTGTGCATTTGTGTGTTTGTGTGCATCTGTGTGTCACAAACAACGCTCACAAATACAGCTCTGTAAGGATGGGCATAAGGTAGATGCCCAGCTGGAAAAGCATTGTGTGAGTTGTACGACAGATAGGATCTACTTTTTGGCCATGCTAGTGCTAGGGGGCCCCCCAAAACAATTATTGCACCAGAGCCACCTGTTACACCAGTGCTACTTGCTATATCAGTCCCACCCCTGCTCCTACAGTACATAACTTTGCATTTGTGTACAGTAAATTCCATTTGCCACTTGTCTGCATAGTTCAACAATTTGTATAAATTCCATTGCAAATTTACATCCTATTCGGTCTACATTGCTGTTGGGGATAAAATCAGCCCGGCCCTTTGTTGATGATGGATATTTGCCAACTCATTCAGAGCTCTGGAAATTGGAAATGAATAGCAGAAACGTGTTCAATAACCAATTCAAATTTTATTCATACGTAAGTTATATTTATAATATTTATATATTTTCAGCAGGATGGGAGGGGGAAAAATTAGCATATGGGCGTGACAATGATGACAATGACATAGATTGTTTTTCGCAAGTTATAAGCAGCCGTTTCTTGTTATGTTGCACGTATATCTGATAAAAAAAAGATATTTACAAATACCAAAATCTTGGACAATTAACATGAACATTTCGAAATCAGTACTTTTCCCGTAACTAGGATTTTAGATAAATTTATTTCCAAGAATCGGAGATACAATTCCAAATTTATTCTTGGTTCAAATTAACCCTTATATGAACAGCTAAGATAGATAGTGAAATGGATATTCGTATCTACAATTGCTTTCCTAACCTTTTTTATCTTCTGCAAAAGACTGGGAAATGGCTGTCAAAGACACTTAAGTGTTATTAATAAATACATTATATAGAAGATGACCTGGAACAGAATGCTGGAACAAGCCATTTATCAACTTCACCCTGTCTAAGAATATTCCGTTAAAAATGGCCAGGTTTCAATCAAAGTGCAGGCAGGCATTTACTCATTTTTAAAAAAAAAATATGTACTGAAATGTTTTTTTAAGGGACTGTATGAAGGTTACTGGGGTTTATGCCCTGTTTTTTTTTCTGTTTTCTTTTGTCCTTGTGTAATATTATTTGCCTTTTGTGTTATCATCATTCATGGGAAAATGCTGAATATCATTATTTAAAATATCAATAAAAATATCACATCCAATAAAGGATGCATGTTTATATCAGCTTGACTTGATTTATCTTTCATAAAACTTAAAATTAAAGTTTGCAAATAATACTGTTGTTGAATGTACAGTGAGGGAAAAAAGTATTTGATCCCCTCCTGATTTTGAATGTTTGCCCACTGACAAAGAAATTGTCAATCTATAACTTTAATAGTAGGTGTATTTTAAAAATGAGAGAGAGACTAACAAAAAATAAAATCCAGAAAAATGCTTGTCAAAAAAGTTATAAATTGATTTGCATGTCAATGAGTGAAATAAGTATTTGATCCCTTATCAATCAGCAAGATTTCTGGCTCCCTGCTGTCTTTTATACAGGTACCGAGCTGAGATTAGGAGCACCCTCTTAAAGGGAGTGCTCCTAATCTCAGCTTGTTACCTGTATAAAATACACCTGTCCACAGAAGCAATTAATCAGATTACAAACTCTCCACCATGGCCAAGACCAAAGAGATGTTCAAGGATGTCAGGGACAAGATTGTAGACCTATACAAGGCTGGAATATGCTACAAGACCCCATCGCCAAGCAGCTTGGTGAGAAGGTGTCAACAGTTGGTACAATTATTCGCAAATGGAAGAAACACAAAATAACTGTCAGTCTCTCTCGGTCTGGTGCTCCACGCAAGATCTCACCTCATGGAATTTAAATGATCATGAGAACGGTGATGAATCAGCACCGAACTACACGGGAGGATCTTATTATTGATCTCAAGGCAACTTGGACCATAGTCACGAAGAAAACAATTGGTAACACACTACACCGTGAAGGGCTGAAATCCTGCGGCGCCTGCAAGGTCCCTCTGCTCAAGAAAGCCAATGAACAGGCCCATCTGCAGTTTGCCAATGAACATCTGAATGATTCAGAGGAGAACTGGGTGAAAGTGTTGTGGTCAGATGAGACCAAAATCAAGTTCTTTGGCATCAACTCAACTCTCTGTGTTTGGAGGAGGAGGAATGAAGCCTATGACCCCAAGAAAACCATCCCCACCGTCAAACATGGAGGTGGAAACATTACGCTTTGGGGGTGTTTTTCTGCTAAGGGGACAGGACAACTGAATCGCATCAAAGAGACGATGGTTCTTTTTGATGAGATGAGAACCTCCTTCCCTCAGCCAGGGCATTACAAATGGGTCGTGGATGGGCATTCCAGCATGACAATGACCCAAAACACACAGTCAAGGCAACAAAGGAGTGACTCAAGAAGAAGCATATTAAGGTCCTGGTGTGGCCTAGCGAGTCTCCAGACCTTAACCCGATAAAAAAATCTGTGGAGGGAGCTGAAGGTTCGAGTTGCCAGACGTCAGCTTCAAAACCTTAATGACTTGGAGAGGATCTGCAAAGAGGAGTGGGACAAAATCCCTCCTGAGATCTGTGCAAACCGGGTGGCCAACTACAAGAAACGTCTGACCCCTGTGATTGCCAACAAGGGTTTTGCCACCAAGTTCTAAGTGGAAGGGGTCAAATACTTATTTCACACATTGACATACAAATCAATGTATAACTTTTTGAACATGCGTTTTTCTGGATTAATTTTTTAAAATTCTGTCTGTCACTGTTAAGACACACCTACCATTAAAATTATACAATTACCATTTCTTGGTCAGTGGGCAAACGTTCAAAATCAGCAGGGGATTAAATACTTTTTTTCCCTCACTGTATCAATGAATAATTTTGCTTAAAGCAGCGCTGTCACCTCAAATTTACCTTACTCCTATTGTTTCATCTTCTCTTACTCTTTCAGAATCTGTTCTTCTTTTCTTCATTTCTGATCTATTTCTCTTTAAAACTTTAAAAAAAACTTAAAAAAAAAAGATAAAGTAAGGACTACATTGTCTTATGTGTTTTTCCTACGTCTCTACGTCTGACATTTTTGACAAAGGGTGGAACTTAACTCAAGCTTTAATATCTCGAAAAAAGTGATTAAGCCTTAAGCTCCACCCTTTGTCAAGAGTTGTTCCTAATTTGTCTTGTGTTTTAAAGGGAAATATCAAAAATGAAGAAAAGAAGAACAGATTCTGAAAGAGGAAGAGAATAGGAAACAATGCGAGAAAGGTAAGTTTCAGGTGACAGCGCCACTTTAAACAGACATCAATAAAAATTAAAGATATGCTCTTTTAAAATGTATCCTTTTTCTGCAAATAGCAGAAAAGGCAGATTCTGGCATGAGTGTTTGCCAGTAGCTTAGCTCAATCCCGATCCTCCCATAGCTTTCAGTGAGTGTGTTGAACAAAGAGGTAAATCAGAGGTTTATGGGAGTTGAAAGTACAACTATTTTAATTTTCTACAATAGAAAGCTGACAGCGGGACTATAAACCCTTGATGTGCAACGTCTCTGGATAAAACACCTAAACGCGATGACTTCTTGCGCAACTGTATTACTGAAGTAGAAAGCTAAATTCTGCAGGTAAGAGGAAGGATAGAAGTAGTGGTGTTACAGAGAAAATTTAAGTTTAAAAACCCTCATAGGTTTCTAATTTCCAGGCTGTGATAAAGGAACATGATCTGCTGTATGCCAGTGTTTTGAAACCATGCCAAAAATAGAGAATCCAGAATGATTAACTAGAATAGTCTGATTATTACTACACTAAGCTCCCTAAGTACACGTGGGTGTATACCATTAGCCCAAGGCTTTATGTACCTTAACATAATTTAATTTAATTGTTTTTGCACTTTGTTCTGAGTCAGCCAATCACATGCGTGCTGCAAGGTTTTTGTCAAATTGATTTGCATCCATTTGTTCTTCCTCAATATGTACAATACAAATGAATGTAATCTTTGACTTCTTCTACATCTGAGATGAGAAATTACATTAAAATGAAAAGGGGTGAGTGAGTGTTATGGGTTATGGATAAAAGAAAGGAGAACAATGCACATATATATATATACACATATTGGATAGATTCGACAAATTAAAAACCTAAAATATATTTCAGGGTTCATCTGCCCCTATGCTTCTATTAGATGTTCCGTAATCGTAGCGTACAAAGAGAGAATACAATGCATAGAGTAGTCAGCCCAGATAATAATGACAGACTTTTCTATCCAGACACACAAACACAGCCTTGTTTTTGGAAGGAGGGGGGGACAGAAAGAGAGCAGGAACTGGATTGAAAAGATCGAACTATTGCCTCTTGCCATAAAGATGCAGAGAAGGGGGGACTATCATTATTTATAAAGCGCCATCGCATCCTACAAAGATACAAAATAACTGACCAAAGGAGAATCCTGCAGATAATAACAGTAATAATAAGAAGCATGCTTTTAAGACCTTACAACGAAAGATTATGCTTTGTCAAGCAATGGTGGGCCTTGTTGCATCACTGCCTCGATTGCAGAGCAAGCTAAGCAAACATGTGGTGCAGGAATACATGAATGCCATCATAGACCTACCTGTTTAAAGGTACACTGTGACAGATACCGAGCCTTTTAAAGGTACACTGTCACATATACCTATCTATTTAAAGGGACACTCTCCCATATACCTACCTATTTAAAGGGACACTGTCACATGCCAAACAGATTAAAGGTACACTGTCACAGATACCCAGCTGTTTCAAAGTACACTGTCACATGTACTAAGATGTTTAAAGCTACACGGTCACAGATACCCAGCTGTTTAAGGTACACTGTCACATATACCTACCTATTTAAAGGTACACTGTCACATGTACTAAGATGTTTAAAGCTACA